GGGGTTTATCAATCTTGTTAATTCTTTCAAAGAACCAGCTCCTTGTTTTGTTGATCTGTTCTACTGTTCTTTTGGTTTTTATTTCATTGATTTCTGCTCTGATCTTTACTATTTCTCTTCTTCTGCTGGGTTTAGGCTTTATTTGCTGTTTTTTCTCCAGCTCCTTTAGGTGTAGGGTTAGGTTGTGTATTTGAGACCTTTCTTGTTTCTTGAGAAAGGCTTCTATTGCTATATACTTTCCTCTTAGGACTGCCTTGGCTGCTTCCCAAAGATTTTGAATAGTTGTGTTTTCATTTTCATTTGTTTCCATGAATTTTTTTTATTTCTTCTTTAATTTCCTGGTTGACCCATTCATTCTTTAGTAGGATGCTCTTTAGCCTCCATGTATTTGAGTTCTTTCCAACTTTCCTGTTATGATTGAGTTCTAGTTTCAAAGCATTGGGGTCCAACAATATACAGGGAATGATCCCAAACTTTTGGTATCAGTTGAGACCTGATTTGTGACCTAGGATGTGATCTATTCTGGAGAATGTTCCATGGGCACTAGAGAAGAATGTGTATTCCGTTGCTTTGGAATGGAATGTTCTGAATATGTCTGTGAAGTCCATTTGGTCCAGTGTGTCATTTAAAGTCTTTATTTCCTTGTTGATCTTCTGCTTAGACGATCTGTCCATTTCAGTGAGGGGCGTGTTAAAGTCCCCCACTATTATTGTATTGTTGTCAATGTATTTCTTCGCTTTTGTTATTAATTGCCTTATAGAATTGGCTGGTCCCATGTTAGGGGCAGATATTTACAATTGTTAGATCTTCTTGTTGGATAGACCCTTTAAGTAGGATACAGTGTCCTTCCTCATCTCTTATTACAGTCTTTGGTTTAAAATCTAATTTGTCTGATATAAGGATTGCCACCCCAGCTTTCTTTTGGTGTCCATTAGCATGGTAAATTGTTTTCCACCCCTTTACTTTCAATCTGGAGGTGTCTTTGGGTCTAAAATGAGTCTCTTGTAGACAGCATATTGATGGGTCTTGTTTTTTAATACAATCTGATAGCCTGTGTCTTTTGATTGGGGCATTTAGCCCATTTACATTCAGGGTAATTATTGAAAGATATGAATTTAGTGCCATTGTATGGCCTGTAGGGTGACTCTCACTGTATATTGTCTGTGTTCCTTTCTGGTCTCTGTTGCTTTTAGGCTCTCTCTTTGCTTAGAGGACCTCTTTCAATATTTCTTGTAGGTCTGGTTTTGTGTTTGCAAATTCCTTTAGTTTTTGTTTGTCTTGGAAGCTTTTTATCTCTCCTTCAATTTTCAATGACAGCCTAGCTGGATATAGTATTCTTGGCTGCATATTTTTCTCATTTAGTGCTCTGAATATATCATACCATTCCTTTCTGGCCTGTGAGGTCTCTGTGGGTAGGTCTGTTGCCAATCTAATATTTCTACCATTGTAGGTTACATCTCCTCCCGAGCTGCTTTCAGGATTTTCTCTTTGTCTCTGAGACTCATAAGTTTTACTATTAGATGTTGGGGTATTGACCTATTTTTATTAATTTTGAGAGGGGTTCTCTGTGCCTCCTGGATTTTGCTGCCTGTTTCATTCCCCAAATTAGGGAAATTGTCTCTCTAATTTGTTCCAGTATACCTTCTGCCCCTCTCTCTCTTTCTTCTTCTTCTGGGATCCCAATTATTTTAATGTTGTCTCATCTTATGGAATCGCTTATCTCTCGAATTCTGCCCTCGTGATCCAGTAGTTCTTTATCTCTCTTTTTCTCAGTTTCTTTATTTTCCATCATTTGGTCTTCTATATCACTGATTCTCTCTTCTGCCTCATTTATCCTAGCAGTTAGTGCCCCCATTTTTGTTTGCACCTCATTAATAGCCTTTTTGATTTTGACTTGGTTAGATTTTAGTTCTTTTATTTCTCTAGGAAGGGTTTCTCTAATAACTTCCATGTTTGTTCAAGCCCAGCTAGTATCTTTAAAATCATCATTCGGAACTCTAGTTCCAACATCGTACTAATGTCCATATTGAGTAGGTCCCTGGCAGTCGGTACTGCCTCTTTTTCTTTTTGTTGAGGTGATTTTTTCCATCTTGTCATTTTGTCCAGAGGAGAATAGATGAATGAGAGAACAAAATGCTAACAGGGTAACAACGTCCCCAGAAAATATAGCCTAAACAAATCAGAAAAGACCTAAAGCCAGGGGGAAAGAAAGGGAAAGAAAGAAAAAAGAAAAAGAAAAAAAAAAAAAGAAAGAAAAAGATAAAGATAAAAATAAAGAAAAACAGAACAAAACAAAGAAAGCAGACAATGATCAAATATGATCAGGCTGGTGCATAGATCAGTGCCACACACTAGATTTTGGGTGTATTTTGGTTTGTTAGAAGAAAGTGCCTCCCAAATATTTAAAGAAAGAAAAACTTATATATGTACAAAAATAAGGGTTGATACAATGAAGGAATGGAATATGACTGTAAAGATGAAAATTATAAAAGATTTAATAAAAGGAATTGATAAGATATGAAGTTGTTTGAAAAAAGAAAGAAGAGGATTTTAAAAAAAAGAGAGAAAAAAGGGAGAGAGTGTGATCAGGCAGGAGACTAGAACAAAGCCATACACTAGAGATTTAGGGTATATTTTGATCTGTTAGAAGAAACTGTATCTCAAAATTTTAAAGAGAGAAAATAAGGGTAACTACTATGAAGGGATAGAATATGACTCTAAAAATGAAAAATAAAAAAAAAATTAAGGGATTGATAAAATGTTGGTTGAAAAAGGGAAAAAGAAAAATTAAAAAAAAAAGACAGTTAAAAAACATTAACTTTGAAAGACTAAAGAATCCCGGTAAAAAAGCCATGGATTCTATGTGCAGTATTCCCCTAGCACTGGCATTCTGCCATTCTCGTTGATCGGTAAACCTGGTCTTGTCTGGCTGTTCTTGCTGATCTTCTGGGGGAGGGGCCTGTTGCCATGGTTTCCAAATGTCTTTGCTGGCAGTGGAATTGCCCCACCCTTGCCTGGTCTGGGGTAAATAATCTGCTTGGGTTTACTCTCAGGAGCTTTTGTTCCCTGCAAGCTTTCCATGCAGTTTTCGAGGCCGAGAGTGAAAATGGTGGCCTCCCAATCTCCACCCCACAGGAGCCAAGAACTCGGCGCCCTGCTCCTCAGTAAGCCCCAGAGAAAAGCAGTCGGTCACTCCTGTCTCCCCCGTCTCTGGCCGCACTCCGTGCTCACCTGGCCTGTGACCGAGCGTTTCTATCTCTGGCACCTGACTCGGTGTGGAGTCTCCAAACCCAGCAGATCCCTGTGGTGCGCTCCTGAGCCACTCTTCCCAGGGGAGGAAGGGGAGTCTCCCCGGATCTGCCGCTTGTTGGGTCCCTGCTGGAGGAGCAGTGGCCCGACTGTGCTGCAGATCACAATTTATGGCAATCCGGAGCTGAGGGCCTGCCCCTCGGCTCCATCTCTGCAGCCGGCTTTCCCACTCCGATACCTGGGAGCTCTGCTGCACTCAGGCACCCCTGGTCTTCCTGTGACCCCAAGGGTCCTCCGACCACACTGTCCCATGAGGGTTCCACCCCCCGCTTAGCCACTGGAGCGACATCCCTCAGTGGAGCTGACTTCTAAAAGTTCCGATTTTGTGCTCCATGGCTCTATCATTTGCCAGAAGCGGCCGACAGAGGCCCCTCCCCCGCCGTCTATCCTCCAGAATATTGCTTGGGATTCACTTCTCCGCACGTCCTACCTTCCAGAAAGTGGTCGTTTTTCTGTTCAGAGGGTTGTTGCTATTCTTTTCTTCGATCTGTTGAGTTTGTAGGTGTTTGGAATGGTTTGATCCCTATCCAGCTGAATTTCCAAGACCAGACGAAATCCAGGTCTTCTACTCCTCTGCCATCTTGCTCCGCCCCCCTCCCCCATGAAGTGACATTTGTATCATCCATCCCCTCACCCCCTTGGGGGCTGATTGTCAAGATAATCAACCATGTGATTAGAAGGTTGAAACTTTGGAACTTACAGTCCCATCCTCTGGCATCCAGGGAGGAAGAGGGACTGCAGGTTGAATCAGTTGCTGAAGGCCAGTGATTTAATAAATCATGACTATGTAATAAAGCCTCCCTAAAAACCCAAAAGTACAGGGTTTAGAGAGCTGCCAGGTTGGGCCTATTTGGAGATGTGTGGAAAATGGTGCAACTGGAGAAGGCGTGGAAGCTCCTTACCCTTCCCACGTAGTTTGCTCTATGCATCTTCTTCATCTGGCTGTTCTGAGTTATAAAAGTTAAATCTAGTAAGTAAAATGTTTCTCTGAGTTCTGTGAGCCACTCTAGTGTATTAATCAAACCCAAAGAGGAAGTTGTGGGAGCTGATTTATAGCCAGGGGGTCAGAAGTACAGGTAATAACCTGTGCCTGCAACTGGCTCTGAAGTGGGGTGGAGGGCAGTCTTATAGGACTGAACCCTTAACTTGTGAGATCTGATGCTATCTCTGGGTAGGTAGTGTTGGAACTGAATCACAGAACACTCATTTGGTGTCCAGAGAATTGCTTGTTGGTGTGGGGAAGCCTCCACTATAACTTAAGTTCTATTACACACCAATGAACATTAGTTGAATTGGAACGCCATAGTTTTATTTTTCTATGTATTTGGGATAGCCGATATTTTTTAAGTGTTTTATAATCTGCATAGTGTGGCTTTTAATCAGAATTAAGTATTCCATCATTATGTTTTATTTTTATTTTAATCTAAAAATGTTCCTCAATTTGCACCTATATGTCACTCAAATCTAAAAACAAGTCAGTTGGGACTAAAATCTAAAATAACATGTAATCTATAAAAATGTAGATAAAAACATAAAATTCTGTGTTTACAATTTTTTCTATTGAAGAGATATAAGCAAAATCATCTTGTTTCTTTGTCAGTGTGTCCTTTTTTCCCAATGAGTACCACATCTGAAGTCAGAAGAAGCATGAATTGTAATATGCTACACTAATTTGATCTGTTTACTTTCAGAGAGCCATATCCTAGAAGATGTCAACAAGTGTATCATAGCATTGAGAGACCAGGATGCTGATAATGTAGACCGTGCTGCAGGTGCTATCAGAGGACGGGCAGCAAGAGTTGCTCACATTGTCACAGGTGAAATGGACAGTTATGAGCCAGGAGCTTACACTGAAGGTGTGATGAGAAATGTTAACTTCCTTACAAGTACAGGTAAGTCTCAGTCCCCAGTAACAGCTGCACTGTTCCTGATACTTGATTCCATGTAGCTACCAAATATTCATACACATGGCAAGCAGATCTCTATCTGTGTTGCTTGTTTTGAAATGGAGCTACTCTCCCATCTGATAGGTCCTTGAATCTTGTGGTTATATGATTTGAAATTTATTTCTAGAAGTAAATATTTTCATTGGAAAAAACAAGTCTTTTATAAATATATGCATTATATAAATTACCCACAGGCCTTAGCCATTTATGAATGTTTATTAACACCGTGTTAGGTATATAATTAGGCCAGATGTGATAAGTATGTAATCGTTTCCAAATTCTCTTTTAGCTGTATCATTGGTACCCCCAGGTTTTTGTTTACATTTCTTAAACAGCAAACTTATCCTGTGTTTCCAGAGAAATGCTCTGTGCCTTCTTCCATGGTCTGTTTGCAAAAGAGCATTTTATTCTTTTACATAATCTTCTTTGATTACTTAAGAAATATGGAATCATTGTTTTGGTTGCAGCACCCAGGTTAATAGTTTCTAAATCAGCCAGTAAATGCTTATTTTGAATCACTCGTTAAAATGCATTCTTATCTTTAACGCTATTGACATTTCTCTATGAAACTTACAGAAGCATTTGAATTCAATGGATTTAGAACAAAATGGATATAATTTGAAGGAAGGCAATCAATTATTTTTAGAAGTCATCATGGCAGAACCTTTTCCTGTGAAAACCCTTTGTGCTCTGTGAAATCCCCAGGATGAAGTTTTTTTAGTAATTACCTCTTAATACTAGGGTGATGGTGCACCCATTATTACTAAAATATTAGAAATTCCATACTTAAGTCATCGATTCTATCTAGAGAATTATTCCTTAGTTATGGATAGGGCATATCAAATTTGGACAATATGCACATTCTTTAGTGAAAGTGGTAGAAGGAATGAGGATGGGTGATTTTGAGGGGACAGGAGAGGGCTGCTACTTAAAACTAAATGACTAAGAGAAACATATCAACAGTCAAATAAACCTTCACTAGGGACTAGTCCTGAAGAGGTATACTGCAAGGTAAGCTGAGCAAGGTTTGTAGAGAATTAATGATTAATGTTGCTATTTTCCTAACATCTTGAAAATCATTGATGAATCTTGGCATATAGTTTTCTCATGATCTCTTTAAAAATATTTCTAAAATAGTGAAACATTGAAGATAGGCTAAGGAAAGATGGAGGAAGTGCATCTGCAACTCTTGATGTCATATTTCTACAACTCAAAAGCCACTGATGTTACAAATAAGGTACATGGTAGATCTCATGTGGCACGTACCACACATACCACATAATGAGGTATGGCAATGTATTTACTTAACGGAGATGATTGTGTTATGGGAGTTCTGCGTCTCTTCTACAAACTAAATTTGACTGGTCTTTCCTTATTGGTCAAATCAAGTACAGAGTTATCTGATTTTTTTTTTCTACTTTCTGAGAATGGAATTGTAAGTAAAAGAAGAATGCATCAGGGGTTCTATTTTTAGCCAAATAAAAATTTCCTGCAGGGAACTGAATAGGTCTAGTCTACCAGGATTTTACATGTATCTTGCCACTGTCTCAGTTTTTTAATCATATTAGCAGTGTATTGTGAACACATTATTGTGGTCACGATGTCTACCAAGTTTACAGCTTTAGTTTCCATAGCATAGAGTTTATATCTCTATGAGCAAAGTGGTGGAAATGAAATTCTAAACTGTCCAGGATGTAAAGTGTGTTGTGGGAACTCTGTTCACAATCAATTCTTAGAATCTGAAATAAGAAAATAAAAATTAAACAAAGTTATTTACACATTTAATTACAAGTTTGTCAATAGCTTTATGATTTATAATGACCTTACACAATAAATAACCAATATGGCTACAAAATCCATTCATGCAGAAGATAGAGAAGTCCTTTTTCCTCTAATTAGTTGTATGTAACTTTAATTAAAATTCTCCAGGTAAATTATGTCCTATGCCCCAATATAATAAATACAGAATGATTCTGGGTTGTTCTGTAAGTCTCATTATTAATGTAACTATAATTTATGACTTTCCAATTTTGTCATTTTAGTTTTTCAGATAATTTTTTGGTTTATCTTTGGGGAAGGATTCTCATTGTTCTATTATTTGTCTAATTCCAAACTTTTCTCCAGTTTTTCTTGAAATTTATCAAAAGCATATCTCACTAAAGGGAATTCTGAGCAATAAATTAGATGAAAGTGCTAATTAGATCAGTTTGATCTTAACCAAAGTTGAAATACGTGAGCATTTTCCCTCCCGTAGAGATATTGTCTATGAAAAATACTTTCAACTATTCTATCCTCCATTATTAAATAACAGAAGACGTTCATCTTTGTTCAGATCTGCTCGTAACTTGGACTTATTATTTATAAATAATCATCAAATTAAGTAATTGGAAATGTTATGTTTTGTGTCATGAAGCCTTAATAGTTCACATTTTATCAAGTGAATGGTCTATCTATGTGGCCTATTTTTCTTTGCTCTTACACAGTTCTCAGGTCTTGACCCTGCTTCCTGAAAATAACTTAATAAGGAACTATTGTGAATTGTTTTTGTTACTGAGACTTCCTTAACACTGCAAAATTTGCCTTAAAGTACTGTAATCAATGATGAAACCTAAGACATGCTTATCTAAATCACAGAGTGTTTTTGGAACACTGCACCTTTGATTTTAATCAGACTTTGTGGCTCATTAGCACATTTTCAAGATTTGATGATCTTCTGAGTGTTTTCTCAGCATTAGGAAGCAGAGCTGCCCTGTTACATTTTAGGAATTTGCATTGTTCATAAACCTTAGCAGTTGGTTTTAAGTGAAATGTAGGCAATATCTGGAATGCTGCATTTCACTCAACAGAGGCATGATTTTGTAATCTCCATGTGATATTCTTTATTCTGCCCAGTTTTTTTTTCCCTTTTACGAAGCTTCTTCATCTGTCAGGAATTCCTGATAGGGGAGAGGAACTATATTAGCTTTTTTTTCTGTTAAGTAGCAAACTTTCTCAATTTTAATGTGAAGGCTTAGAAGTTATATTCTTAACACCAACTTCAGTTCTTTCATACTAGGCTGGGGAGAAACCTAAACAAAGAGGGAACTGATAACAGTATTTTTTGTATCTGATTTATGGACTCTTACCAAATTCAGAAATTAGCAGGCCCCAAAGCATCTGTTGCAAACCACCAAACTCCTCCTGGTTTCAGTGTCAGCCAGTCTCATAGACCAAACAGAACAGGCACATATATGAACCTGACCGAGACATCCTGGTGGCATCCACTGCTGGCAACTTGTAGTAAAGGCAAGTAAAATGTCATTTATCAAGTACTTCATCAGGCCCAAACTGGAAAACTTGGACCCGGAATCGTCCCCCTAATAGAATGGAGAAGAGTCATATGGTTGCAATTTTTCTTTTTAAAGACACATGAGATAGTTGAAAATAATCTCGAGCCAACAAATATTTCCAAAATTTTCTTGTAAATTTTTCTTGTGACCAATTTAAACAATAAACTTTTAAAATGAATTTTATCTAAAAATTATTTTAAAAATTTTAATAGCAGCAACTCCTATCAAGTCCCTTTCATTTAATATTTTTCACATAAAAATATCCTACATTTTGTAGCCAGATTAAAACATGTTTACTTACTTTTCTTATGTTGCATCTCTGGTCTATAACCTTAAATAATTATAGGATAAAATACAAAGGTTTTAATTTTTGTAGTTTTTACACTCCACAATCCAGCAGAGGTTGAAAATTCATGGTCCGTATACTAGATATGACTCAAAGTGACACAAAGAATTTTTATGTGTCCAGTAGAGTTTTGACCAACATAATTTTGTTTTAAGAATTAGTTCCTAATGTTATACATACACACACACACACGCACACACATACACACATGTATTTACCACAGATTATTGGCATATCCTGATAAATGGGAAAGTCTGGCAATACTAGGGCAGAGTTTGCCTGGAGCTTAGTGATGTTTTCCTTTTCTTTGAGCCTGGACCATACTCTCCTACACTCCCTTTCATTATATACCTAGACTGCTTCACTCACTTAATTTATCTATCTGAACTTTGTAGGCATTTGAGTTCACCTAAACATGCATTCCTGTGTGTGTGTGTGTGTGTGTGTTCCTATTGTGAGCCAAAGGCACTTTCTACTCATCTAAGTTGGTAGTTTCACATTTTATTTTCACATTTTATCCATCTTTCAAGAAATAGCTTACATCCCATGTCTTCTAGGAACCTTTCTTTACTCCCTCTGGCAATAGTGAATTCTTTCTGACTTCATGTACTGTAGATTTTAAAGGACTTGCTACTCAGTTGAATCATTCCAGACAACTATATGCTGTTGATGAACTCTTCAGAAATACTTACATGGAAATGACTTTTCCTTCAAATAGAATGTAAGTTATAAAAGGAAAGGAAACTTGTATGTCTTGCGTTTATTTGTTTCTCTTTGCATCTCTTCCAGACCTACCATTATGCCTTGTGTGTGCTAGATTAAAACAAAACAAAACAGCAAAACAACTCTTGCATTGTGTCTATATGCCTGTACTAATTCTATTCCAGCAGTGAAAAGTCTTTTCTTCTCTACTGACCCTCTAGAATTATAGTTATTTTCCAACACTTTCTCAAATGCCACCACCTTTGCATAGGAGCTTCTGATTCCTCTTCAGGTAGAAATAATTGCTCTATTATCTGTGTTACCATGGATGAGCTTGTTTTTTAGTTAATGCTTATTTCACTTTTCCTTGTATAGTCAGTCATTTACATACAAGTTTCCCCAACTAGATTATAACATCCTTAAAGGCAGACACCATACTTTATTATTTTTATATTTCCCAGTAGCATTTTACCCATAGTGGAGGTGCCCAAGTACTTTTACCAGCTTAAAACTTAAAATTCACTACAATATTGTACTGTGAAACATTGTAATACGGTTAAGCAAGAGAA